CGTGGTGCTTAGTTGCTGGCTGGGGTTAAACCATGACAAAGATGTAAGTAGTTGGTGCCATATAAAGGTACCAGCTTTCCTGGGAACTCATGGTCAGACAAGTATTTGGGAAGCTGGAAAATGTCATCTCTACCAGTGTGTAGCGAACAGGGATGGAATTTCAAATCAAAATAAACTCATGTTTTTTAGCAAAGTATTTTCAAGGTCTTCTCTGAGAGGCTTTGTCTAGCTCTGAGCTTATCTATGCTTACATCCAAGAGGAATTCCACCAATACATCCGTGGCCAGTTCCCCGTCAAATTCAATCAACCGCTCCTCCTTAAAGACATAGAGACTTCCCTCTTCAACCAAGCCTGAAAGAAGGAGACAGGAAACATAATGTGGGCAACACATCACTAGAAGCATTTTACTACAGAGTATCTTGCTTGTTATTCTAGCAATGCCTCTTGGGAAAATGCAATTGCCAATTCACTGAGTTGGTCCAGTCAGAAACAACCCAAGAAATCTCTTGACTGATGTTTCACGGCACGAAGCACAGACTTCAGCCAGAACTTGTGCCAGCTTGAACTTTTTCGTTCAGGTCATGGTTTGGCCTCCGTTGGAAAAATTCTGCACAGGAAACTTGTTTTAGCTTGGCTATCTATATTGCTGTAAATAGTACTGGGCTCTGACTGACATCCCAAATTTTAACAACCTGACACTAGATGGAAAATGGATTTTGATGTGGGCTGCGGTCTCTGCCCAGAGAAGGCTGAACTATGTGAACATAGACAGTGAGCTGGAAGCCAAAGCAAGCTTCAAACTTTCTGCAGCTTAGCTAGCCTTAGCAAAAGGGTTAAGATGCCACAGAGGGCAGGCTGGCAGATTTGAGTGGTATATCACTGGACTAAGAACTGGGTGCTACAGCATCTTGGTGGAGGCTGCAAAATCAGCAGCACTAAGCTCCTGCAGTGCATGGTGGCAGGGTACCACAGGTCAAGGTGGTTGGTAGTTTGTTCCTTCCTGGAGAGGCAGAATCTCTCAGCTTTAGTTTAGCTTCCACCAGCACACCTAGACTCTAATTTAGGAAAGAAAATTACAGTCCAGTATACACTCCAGTATGCTTAAACAGTCTGACCTTAAGTCTAGTGGTATATTTATGTGCTGTTGTATTTATGGGCCATAGTATTTCCATATTCCTTTGTGGGTTAAAATACGAAGGAATCGCCAGCCCCTGGAAGGCAGCTGTTTTCAGGAGTGGACAATGCAGCAGCCTTTCACCTTTACAGTAGGTTTCCTCTTCTGCTCTGGGGAGCAAGTCAGGAAGGGTTGGCATCTGGCTGCCAAACGATTGCAAGGCTGTGGCTCCCCCATTAGTGGCAGGGTGTCACTCTGCCATGGGACTGGTGACATTTAGGGGACTATGTGATGTCCCTATAGGTTTTGGTTCTGCGCCACTGTCAGACCTGTCTCTGTGCAGGAAGAGCATGGAGTTACTCCATGACATCTATTTACAGTTTCTGCTCAGCAGAAACTGTGAGCTTCCACCCTGCCATCACTATGGCATGAATTGGCTTTCTTTTTCACTTGGTTTGGTTTTGTTTTGGCACTCTTAGTCAGGCATCTTTTTGCTAGAAGGGTGTGGGCTCACCCCTCTCATCCTTACCCCCCCCAACTTGATCCTGCTCATGTTGGGGTGGGCAGGTGGTCAGTATGCAATTGCCACTATCACCTTCCTCATCCTGGTGACAAGGATTTGGCTGTCCTCTCCAGGGCTGCTTGTTGGGCGTCACTCCCACACTCTCTGCGAGCTGTTACAGAGATATCAGACATGGGACTCACCTAGCTTTTTGGCAAGTTTGGCATCCTTCTTGGAGTCCACCATCCCGAAGCCAATGCTCCTGGGCTCCAGGACCTGAGCTGCCAGCTGTGGGAGGAACCAGAGAGCCCAACATTAGTGGCATTAACACCACAGGGTAGCTAAAGGGCATCACGACAGACACAAGTGACCCATATTCTGCTTTCAGGCAGCACCAATGGGTGGGATGCGTCACATGCTGCCTCCCCGCTGAGATAATGCTGCCCGGAGGTCACAAGGGCTGGATTTCTTCCCACTGTGTCGCAGCACTGAGTTTGCTGGTGATACCACATGCTGCTAACTGCTGTTTGACACTCGGGTATTGGGAGAGGGCTCCGGGCCGAATCAGGGACACCAAAGCAATGGGCATGGCTTGGACAAAGACCTGTGCCACTGATGGAAAGCAAAACCTGTCTCCTCTCTTGTGCCTCGGTGGCCTCCTGAGGGGGAGCATGATATGTGGGCACTGCAGGTGTTTTAACTCTGGAAGTGCTTGGTGCCAGGCAGCAGTGGCTGCAAACTGAAGGGGATGCAGGGCACTGCAGCATCATGTGTACTTTGTACGTGTGATGGGACAACCAAAGCAGGTCCCAGCAAAATAAAGCAGAGGCATTCCCGGCTTTGCGAAAGCAGTCCCTTCTCCTATGAAATGCTTTAAGTCATATGTCCTGTCCAGGCTTCAGTCACCCCCCAGTTCCTGGTCCCCTCTTTTTCCTACAGAAATGAGTCTAATCCCAGCCACACTCGTCTTTGCCTCCTCACAGCTTCGGAAACCACTGCCTCCCGTTCCCACCATTTTTGACGAAGGGGCCTCTTGAAGATATCAAGTTCCTGCCTGTTTTGTGAAAATAGATATGTGAGGAAAGGAGAGACGCTCTGCAAGTGCCCCGTGGTGGGAGCAGCCCCGAGTCAGACCCTGTGAATTCCAGATGGGCTCTGTAGAGATGCAGTGACCCTGGGAAATGAGCCCCCTTACTCACCAGATGACTGATTTAGCCCCACCACAAGCATGCCAGAGACCCTACAAGGTGGTAATGATGCTCTGAGACCACCAAGCAGCTGTAAGAGCCCCTTCCGCCCCCCTCTCCCTCCCTGCTCCACGAATGCGTCTGATGCTGATGGTCTTCTTGCTGTCAGCCCTCTCAGCCCTGCCGGATGAGGGGGGCAATGGGAACGAGGAGTCAGGGGCCTCCGGGACAGGAATGTCCCTACTAGGGCACAGCTGCCTGCGCTTAGCAGTGGGAGGCTGGAGGGGGGGCAGAAGAAAAGCCGTGGCCAGAGGGATGGTGGGCTGATTTATGAGGAACGTCCTCCCCCAGGACCCATTTTGGCACCACCCTGCCAGCCTCAAAGCCGGTTTGAATGTCACCCAGCGGCACTGCCCCCATGGCCACATGGCCCCTTGGCTCCCCGCTATAAATAGCCTCCGCCTGCACACAGCCGCTGCAAGAGTGAGCAGTGATTAAAAGCATTGGGGAGCAAAAGCAGTGCGGCAGCCCCCTCGCCTGCACCCTGGGGCATTGCAGGGCCAGCCAGCTCCTATGCTGGTAGTGCCCAGCCCTCCCCCGAAATCCTGGGGGAGACTCCAGGCACCCTGAGGATCAGGGCTCAGGGACCTTGCTTGAGTGAAAAGGAGTGATGGAGAACATGGTTGTCTTCTCTCTTCCACCAAATACACATCCCCAGGACTGTCCCAAAGCCCACCAGAAGGACATATTCTCCACTAACCATCGCAGCATCACAGCATCACTGCAACCTTGATCGCCTTGCAGCTATTGGCCTGTTGTCTTTAGGGGGAAATGCCGCCATGTGAGGCAAAATGTGTGCTCCATGTTATGCAGAAAACAAACGGTCTCACCACCCTTTACTTGCTCTCCACCAGTGCTTTGAAATAAAGGTGAGGCTGCATGTTCAGGGCTTGTTCTTACAGTAGATACTGCCTGAACAGGGCAGAGCACCGGTCTGTATTTGCACATCCGTTCATAAAGCATCTGACCACTGATCTGACTCATCTGGCATCTCATCTCCTGGCTCAGGCCACGGGCATCCTCATTAGAGCACCCGAGAGCAGCTGATACCCAATAACGCAGGGAGCGATGGACATCTCTTCTGAGTTCCCTAGACATCTGCAAGTGGGTGGTGGTGGGAGAAGCTGTTTTCTGTTCCCCATTATGGGGATCTGCCTTTACTGGACAAAGGGATGGAGCCTGTAGGATCATCAGCTTTGGGGGACATCATCAGCAAGTCCCTGCTCGTTGGCAGTTGTGTAGACCAGCAAGAGGTTCCTCAGAGTCAATGCTTGAGGCTCTGGCTGCACTGTGACCAGAGGTAAAACACAGAAAGCCCAACAGAAGAAGACTGTCCAGTCATGTCCAGTCCAGTCCATACTTGATCTAGCTACTTACTTACAGCGATGCTACCCATGTACCACACAAAGTCAAAGCAGTTTAAGCCAAATAGTTCTTGACTCCTGCACACAGGAGATGGTTAGGCTTTCTTGTGGGCATTTGAAGAAGTTCAAAATTGTGCCTTCATCATGTGAGCTTGCAACACCTGCTACAGACAAGTAGTTGGGTGTGAGCGGGGACATTTGCGAGAGAGGAGGCATCAATTACTCCTGAGTAGTGTACGTGAGCACGCCGCATACACAAGGTAGGTCTTCAGAAGGGTGTGGGTGCAGTCATGTAGCTGTGAGCATGGGAGCTTTCTGGGAAAGAGCAAACATGTCTAGAAAATATGGGCGATGGGATCAAAGCCTCTTTGTATGAGATTGTGGGAGTGTGCATTTCGCTAGGGCTTGGGAGGCAAAAAAGGTCACAGTAATGCTGGAGATGTGCCTGTCAGTGTGGCAGGGTTTGTGTGGTTGTGTTTAGCAAGACTGTCTCTAGAACGTGTATGTACCCTGGGTGCAAGCATTTGGAGATGTTCCTCTGAAGAGACTTGTCCCAAGAGAAGATGTGCAACAGTGTGTGTATATAGTAGAGTGCGTGTGTACAGTGTGTGCGTGTGTGGGACGGAGCTGCAAGGTATGTGGGCAGCCTGCCTCCTTTGCTGGGACTTTTGTATTAATGAGATAATGAGGTAAGCGGTATGGCCTGTGCGCATCTGCAGAACGCTGGGATCCTGCACCAGGGAAATCTTCATGCAACACGAGACTCTCCGGAGCTCTTTCCACTGTGGCAGTGCCTGGAGGCAGGAGACCTTTGCAGGGTGTCAGTACCTACGGTGGCCTTTTCAAGTGCCAGCTATGCAGGGGCTGGACACAGCTCCTGCCCATGCTTTCCCTGCTTTCCACTGCAGCAGGTGAGTCTGGCCAGTGCTTAGGTGAGGACATATTCCCACACCTGTATTTGAACCTCATAAGGCAGCAAAATATAGAGTATGCCAGAGGCACAGCAGCTTGGCTAGTTGCCCCCTGCTCATTACAGTATCAAGCATTTATATATCCCCTTACAGTATTTTCTGATTCCATAATGCTAGTGGGATTTGAATGCAGATAATGTTTCTAATCTTGACAATCCTCTTGGCTTGGGACCTTGGGACAGAGGTGGCTGTAATGTAAGAACACAGCCCCTCCTCCTCCCCCTCCTCCCTCTAAATTCATATTGCTTGAAGTCTTGGACAGCCAGAGCCCATGTCTTTGTGTCAGCCTCTATAGCGAGTAATTTAGCTTTAACAGCTGCATGGGGAGATGGAGGAGAGAAACTGCCCTGGAAGAACTGGACCTAACTGATCATGCAGTTCCTGAGGTACAGCAGGAGCTTTGGGCAGTCAGAGCTGGCTCAGACCATGAGCAAAGACCACAGTCACTTGTAAGCTCATATCCCATGCACAGTTTGCAGCCTTCCTGTCATGTGCTCGAAGCCTTTGCATCGCACACCTTCTAGCCACAGGATCACAAGCTGTGTCCTGTGCAACCTTGGGAAAAGGAGGTGCGAGTTTGCGAACACTCCTCCTTTTTCCCACTTCCCTCAGCTAATAGCCATACTTGGATTTGAGTAAGCGTGAGGGAGTGCATGGCTCTCTGGGATGTGTGAGAGGTGCCAGCCCAAAGTGAAGCTTGAGTACCACCAAGTAAGCAAGCACCACCTCATCTTGGACAGTGTCAACAGTTACAGGCAATCTGAATAATGGGGATGGAAAGAAACAGCTCCCTGCCGGAACATCTCAGCTTCACACCTACCATACCCATCTAAACTTAGGTGTGATGCTAGGAAGCTTTTGGGAGATTTAAGGAGTCCCACAGGGTCATTCTGAAATCCTAGGTTACAGAGCAGCAGAAGTGTCACTGGTATAAAAGTGACAGACTGCCCAGCCACAATCCTATTCCAGCTGCAAACAAGAGTGATTGTGCCGAACCTTGTATTTGGTGTCAGTTTTGCTGCTAAATAGCAGACAAAATCCAGCAGAGATGGTTACAAATGGGGGTGGGAGGGGTGGATGTCTCAACATGGTCAGTTTTTCACTGTGGAGTGACATTACAGCCTTGTGGCCTGGATTTTCTTCCCACTTCTCTAGCACCTGCCTCAAGCTCCAACAGACTGTAAGGCTCATCTTCCCCAGCCGCTCAGGCTGGGAGGCAGGGCACTGGGGACATTTGGGTCTCTGTAAGAGCCGTCATGAGTAAACTTCTCTTAAGCATGGGGAGTTTTCTGTTACCCTAGCTGATAGAGGTGGAAGAACAAAACTCAAGCAATGCAAGGAGGAGAGCAACAGGAGATGACGAGGGCATGTCTCTCAAGCAATCTGCACTTCTCTGCTGTTTCTCTCCTACTCTCTTTAAAGCTGCAATTTGTGTTGATGGTCAGAACCTGTTTGATGTAATGATGATAATTTTATATCCCAAAATGTTAGGGTTTTATTTTCAGAAACAGCAGGAGGAGATGGCAAAAATCTAGGGTATTTCCCCAAAAGCTTTGCACCCTTATGCAGAACTCATGCCTTCATGTTATGGTTGGCTTCTCTGTTGTTTGAGCTGGTGGGCAGTTTGTTAGAGAGCAGAGGGGGATATTGCTCCTTCCTAATGCTGTGCTGTCTCCTCAAGCATCCCCTTGCATACCCTACCAGCA